GATTACGCGATTTTCCTCAGGGCGGATTGACGGAACTCCTTCCTTTCACTCTAATAAATTACATTAATTCAAATAAAATAACATAAGCACAACGACCGATACAAACGTAGACGTTTGGTCACATTCTCTCCTCCAGAGTATTCGATATTCCTCGTGTCGGGGTTGAACTCACTCCATTCTCGCTAATAACTTACTTTTACTCTCCAGAGGTCACACATCCAACGTCACATCCTTAGATGCACGCCTCTTCCTATTCTTCCAATCGCACCATTCATAACGACCTAAATGTTCCATTTTAAAATAAATAAGAAAAATCCATCTAAAAAAATTCTACACAAACTTCCTATCCCGATGTTAAAAATAAAAAAAAAGGAAGAAAAAGAGCTAGAGGACGAAGAGTCCAGTGTTGAGCACGTGTGGCTGGAAAGCGTCCTGCGCCTAGTGCATACTCCTCTTCCGTATTAAACGAATCTTGCTTAACGGGTTTTGACGATCGACGAGGAAACTGGATTCATTTTCGAAAGAGCGACATGAAAGCATTATTGGCTGTTTAAGAGGTCGGAGGACACAACGGGCGGTTCTGGGTCGTGGTTCATTGAACAAATTCTGCTCTCGCTTGTAAGGAAATCAAAAGGCGACCTAATTTTCATGTCCAAACTGGGTTAGCTCTGCTTAGTGCGATTTATTAACATATTGATAGATCGTCTGGCGGCGATGGGAGGGCGCCGTTGGAAACTCGGTAATTGCTTTCACATCGGCATTCCTCCTTCGTTTGACCACCACCTTTGTTTATTGTCCTCCAGGCCATTGGTTTAACGTCCCTCCCATCCGTGGTGGAATCCGCCTTTTCTATTACCTGTTGAAAAAGATTGCTAACCGTGCTCCCTTTCCGAGTAAACGCCGTCTAAACATAATTATTCCCTGATTGCGGTGAAAGGCAAAAACGTGTATTTCTCGATCTTCCCTTAGAATTCAGACTTTTGTAATTACTGTTGTTTGCACGGATTGGAGACTCGATTTTTTTATGTATCTTTCGGTTGTTCTAGGAGGGTAGTTTTGCATTTATTGCCGATCAAAGTGGAGTGTTAAGATTTTTTTTGTGGAAATGGTCCAGCTGTTTATGTTTAACAAACCCTACGGCTATATGGCGATAATATGATTTTTCAGTAAGGACAAGTACATTATTAGGTTTCACACGTTGTGACAAACATTCTTTTCCTCACTAAGTAATAGTTTATAAACGACAATTAGAATGAAAACTCCATTCTTCCTGGTTCTTCACGAATTGTATTCAATAAATTCTGAATTTATTTTATCATTGCACTTATGGAATGTTGCGCAAGGGTCCTTGAGGGTTGATGAAATAGTGAAAACTGCTTTTATGAGCTTTCTTTGTGTTTATGTACAATTTATTAATTTTACAAGTACTTTTTCAATATGCAGATTATTGCATTTTAATCTATATGTTTCCAGTTGGTTAGCCAAAGTGGTTATGTAAATTGATTTATAATTTTTATGTAAAGTGTGGTTGAGATGAAAAATTAGTGTCACGAGCGGGCTCGAACCACGACCTCCTGGCCTAACCACTTGATTTATCGTGACTTAGGTCGTGATAGGGGGAGTATAGGTTGGGAGGTCGTGGGTTCGAGTCCCGCTCGTGACACTAATTTTTTATCTCAACCACACTTTACATAAAAATCAATTGTATAATATATTTTCTTTTGTACAGTTTCTGTGTAATGTCTTACTTCATGGTCCCTACTTAGAGGAATCTGTTCATTTTTTTTCATAATAGATGCAAACTGTGCTAATCGTTTTAATTGTGTTAAAGTCGAGATGTTTTATATCGCAAACGTGCTATTTACTTTGTACATTAAACACTAGCACGTTCTGCATAACAGAATTGTCACAAAAGAATCATAAAGGGAAACAAGTTCAATTGAGAAAAGTAGGATCACAAAGGTGGCCATAAGTACAACTACTTTTAAACAGATTAATCTTGAGATTTTTGATTTTTATTTTTCTTACAATCAACAAGAACTAAAAAAATCAATGAACAACCTTTATGAACAAATTAGCATATTTAGCAGATTAACATATCTAGAATTTGTATAAGCTCAATTCTCCACGCAGATGTACATACAAACATACAAGCGTGAACAGTTGAGCCTATCACTCATAGTCCACTGGCTGTTTTACTGTAGATCGGGAGATTCACCCCCCCCCCCCCGGGGGTGTTGGCAATCCGGGGATACACGTCGGTCTTATCCGTCCAGACTTCTTCGATGTTGGGTTCCGGGGGCTGCGAACAGGTCATTTCAGCCCCAAAACAAACAGTTTCTAGATCCATAACCCCTCACACTATCTCTCACTCTTAAATACATTATTTCTTATTTACTTACTAGTCACTCAGGGTGGTGGAGTACTTGATATGGGTGCTCAATATGCCGCCATCGGCCCTCTCACACTACACATTCACTCTCAACACACACTAGTAGACAAAAACGAGATATTTATAAAGGCGTCAAAAATCGAAACAGAGCTGCCTTGCTCAAGCCATATCGGGTAGCATCCATACGAGCTCTCTATATTGAGTCAAAAAACTACACACATTAAGTGGAACACTTAGAGTAACCTGGTCCAAAAGTAAATATCCATGTGTCAACCTCGGATGACCTATAAGAATAGGTCCTTTTCTAGGTTCAGATCCTCCGAAGCCACCTATTGACAGTGCTAATGTGCAGAATGGTCAGTGAGAAAGGACGGAAAATAGGTGCAAGAGTAATGATGATTTCAACTTGTTTCCATATCGATGGAAAGAGGGGTCATCTCAAGGCACCTTTCTACTTTTCAGCTGGCAGTGCGGTGCAAAAGTTTCTGGAGATTTTTTAGCGGTTGGTTTGAACTCTCTTCTAATAGTCCGGTAAAAGGTGAGTTTGGGGTGAATTGATCCACCAAGCAGTACCATCTGATGTGGGTGGTCGCGATTTGACTCATTCACTGTTTATATTCAGGCATATTTAGTTAATACAACATTGGTGTATTTACGGACTTGGCGGACTTTACTCTTCCTCAACCCGTTACTAACGGCAAATGATTTGTTTTGTACTGATGGCCAAATTGTTCAGGGGTTCTTACAGGATCGTTGTACCATAATATATCTTTTCTAAAAAGACCGTTAATCGGTTGGGGGAGAGATAAAACTTCATTTTGTGGTTTAAAATAATGAATAGGGTATCTAGGCTACTATCAGGAAGATGCCCTTTAGTATGCCAGTCATAATCTTAATTAAGCTAGAAATTGATTATTAGATCCGGCTGGTTCTCAAGGTGGAGATGTTTACTGACGTGTGGCACTACTGATAGGTCTGCCTCCTGCCAGAAGCCTTTGTAAGGTCCTTTGGTAAATCTTTCTCAGATGGCCATTTAGTCTGCAGTGCTCCTTCAAGAAACCGGCTAAGATTTTTTTTTTGTGGCTTTATCAGGGATATTCAGCCAGATTCAAGTACCAATGATTAACATTCTAAGTAACTGTCTATGTAAAGAAATAAATAGATGAATAAATAAATAAATAGGCTAATAAATATTAAGTAATCGGATAAACAACTTAAACACTAATGTCATAGTTCTTGAAGTATTTGAACAAGGCCTCATTAACTTCCTTGTCACCCTCTGCCAGCAGCGAGCTTAAGTTCAGTGGTTCAGAGGCCTTTTCACTTGCCCCAGAGCCTCCAATTCTTCGAGAAACTGTTCTCGCTGGGCCTCATATTCGGTGCATTGTAGTAGTACATGATCAAGGCTCTCTTCTACATCGCACGTTGCGCAGTTTGGCGATGTTCTACAGTTAATCCTGTGTAACTATGAACCGCAGATGCCATGGCCAGTACGGAGTCGTGTAATTGTTGGGAAGAAAACTTTTCCTCTCTCTATTTCTTGAAACCACGGCTTCTTTTGTAATATTGGGAATAATGAACGGTAGAATTTCCTTGCTATGCCCGTATCGTACCAAATTTGCCACTTTCTGCACACGTCTCTTTTGATATTGTTTGTAACGTCTCCGACGGTTAGCTGCACAGTCGTGGGAAATCCTTTAATGGCTGCCTCCTTGGCTAACTGGTCTCTTTCAATATATTTTATACCTGCATGCCCTTTTATCCAGCATGTTACATGTATGTAGCATGTGTTTTTGCCTTGATTTCTTAATTTGTAGGTTAACCTGACAATTTCGATTAAAATATATTCATACTTCTTGTCCAAATTGAAAGTGCGTAGCTGGCATATCGTGCTGAGACTGTCTGTCATAATCACAGTTTTTTTATTTGGTATCTTCGCGGAGTATTCCAGCGCTTTCAGTATGGCGATACCTTCTGCTGTGTAAGAGCTAACAAGATTCGGAAGTAGGTGTTACTCGTGATACCTGTTTAGGCTGTCATAAAATGCACAACCTGCGGAACCATTAAGTTTTGATCCCTCTGTGAAAATAAGGAGGTGATCTGGGAACTTTTCGCAGCTGTCTGTCCTGAAATGCATTTCTACAAAATTGGCTGGGCGTCCTGTATAATTAGTTCTTGACAAGGCTAAGATTTAAAGTCTCTTTCTTCTTCTGTGGTATTTAGTTTGATCATGTAATTAATATGATATACGATCATAGTGCTCTGATTTTTACAAACGAACAATATAACTTCTAAAGCTTAACTGCAATATGCCTAATTTTATTTTTCTGCTCTGGGTCAAAATAAAGTAACTGATAATTAATTAATCCTCTTAAATTGTATTACATTTGTATAGTTAATTTGGTGGAATATTATGACGTAATGATATGATGACAAAACAACAGGCCGAATCTGACAGGCGCGAAGTCGAGCGACCAGCTCCTCCGTAGCTCTGGATGAATTGTTTCGGGAAGCGAAAACTTTTTGTTCTGAACTCCTTCCATTTGCTTGATCGATGAGAGTCGAGCCGTTTTGAGCTCCAGGTTAAACTTATTTTTTTTTATTCCAGGGGACATCGCGGGTAACGGCACAGACGGTTGCTACAGATCAGCGCTGCAGGAAAGCGCCCTAGTCGCCTCTCTGCAGATGTTCAACCTCATCTTGGAGAGGTTCATCAAGATCTTGCAGGATCATCTCGCCAACCCGAACAACGCCCACACAATACCCTCGGACTGCCAGGTCATTCTTCCAGCTTTGAAGGTGGGTAGATGGATACAATTTTTGGTAAGATCAAAGTAGATAAAAGAGAAACCATCACTAGTTACACTGCGCCTTAACAGTTAATTATCGAACTGTAAAGACCAAGCATAAACCTGTAACATAAACGTGTATAATTCTCATTCTAAATAAATCCCAGTCCAATCGGCCATGTGCTGGCAAAAAATAACACAATTATATAAAACTTTTGAATATGGCAAATATGACAGAGAACGAGTCTATTCTAAATTTTTAAATTTGGAAAGTTGAGCGGGTGATCTCTTTACTCTTTATGACTGTTTTCATAGATTTGGTGTGACTGGCTGACCTCCCATTTCGAGATTTGGAACCCTCCTCCGTCTTGTCAAGACTACAAAGTTGGGTAAGCGTTTTTAACTATTTCTACTAAATAAGTACAACAATAGATATTTATTGTATTGTCAGGATGAAATGACTTTAAAAAATTACAAACCCTGTTATTGTTGTAATAAAAAATGGCCCGATTTCTCAGTACGGTAAAGGGGTTAATTCTAGTTAATGGTTGTCAATAATTAATCCTATCTTGTAGATCACTATGTGAGCAGTTTATAAATATTGGATTCGGACAATAAAACCTCAGATCAAATAATTCTGTCGAAAAAGAACTGTGTAGTGTCTATTCCATACGAAATTCTTGTGATATATTGGATAAAGTACCAGGGCAGACCAACTTGCAGTTTCAATTTTCAGTTGTGGTGTGTACTTAAAGAAAGAAGGTCCCAGAGTGAACACATTGGAAACTTGAGATTTAACATCATGTCGACCATCAAATTCAGTCACACGTATGGTACTAATCGCCTTGTTATGGTTGTGCAGGAAGCTGTTTAATCAAATCAAGTCCCAGGCAACTCGCGGAGTCCCCAAGGTGTATCGAAGGACACTAGCCGCCTTAGTGAGGTCCTACAGCAGGCTCAAATTCAGTTTTAAGTACGTATGTGGAGTGTCGGGGTTCTACAGCAAGCTACAATCAAATCCAATCACACAGGCACTCTCCCACATTTGCAGGAAATGTAGACTGTCGAGACAGGAAAAGTGACAAAGAGAAGTAGACAGTTCTAGATTGAACCAAAGTAACTTGCTAAGAGGGCAGACACTTGTAAAAAATTTTTGAAAGGAGATTTTATCAAAAGATTGTCCCGACTGATGGAAATGGGTTTACCAGTCAAATCCTGTTTCATTTGGAACATGGCTAAATCGTATTCAAACGGCTTTTCCAGATGGCAGAAAACGGAGGTGTGAAAATGATCTTTGATGTTAGTTTTTTGGAACTACGAAGTTAAAGTTTGTTCCTGATTTTCTATGTTCTCTCAACTCTACTGCATACAATTAAAACCAGTGTATCAAAAATCCCAGCGTTTACACACTTCCTTTAGACGTAGGAAAAGTTAGCAGATTTTCAGCTAGTACATCATACGGCCAAGACTTTGTTCCTTCAGTTTATGACCTTACCCACTTTATTAAACGAATTGGGAGAAGAAAGTATTGAGTAGTAGTTTTTTCAAAACCATCCCTTGCAGTGGTACCATCTTTGAATCGAGCAACTGACCGAAATTAATGTTTTGTTAAAAAACGGCCATTTTTTAATACACCCTTTCATATGTGTTTGGAACGACAACTTTTACCAAAATTTAAAAATAGCAAGTACATTTAAAAAGTTCGAAAATGGGAATTTGCAGGCCACCAGGAGATTGTTGGAGCAGACTTGCGGTACTGGTCAATCTACTCGAAAAGCTCGAGTTTCCAAAAGACCTGTTGTCCGAGGAGAAGAAGGAAGGTAAAAGTTTCAAACTAAAATTTCTTTATTTGAATAGGATTCATTTTCATTTATTCCCCACCCAGACAGCGAAGTTGTATTTCTGCCGGAAGACGCGACACTGGCCGGTTTCAACCCTTTGATTGCCAACTCCCAGGAACCTGTCTATGTACACGAAGACGTTGACATGGTAAATGAAATCGCCGCGACCTAGCTCTAAGTACGAACAGATTGATAATCGACGTTCTGCGTAGGACTTGGCCCAGAATTGTTTGAGAATTCAAAAGATCCTCTTCTTCGGCTCGGTCTTCCTTTGCGGCCTCGATCCTCCTGTCCTGAAGGTGCAGAAAATGGACTCTGGAGAATCGGAGTACGTCTCTGTAGTCGACACGCCCGGCTCGCAAGAACAGGTGGGGCTACAATTTTTATTTCTATCTTATGTTTTAATTGAGTTATAAAGTATGACGGTGTTTTCGGAACGATTACGTTCGATATACATATATTTCAGATCTTTCTGGCAATTTTTAAACTATCAATTGTTTTTGCTTAATTTTCCTCCTTAAAAACTTCAAAGATTTATTTTATTCTGCGTGTCATTGCAGTATACGACCTAATTAAAATAAAGTGTCAAGTGGGATAGTTTGGTGAAATTTCTTCTAGTGATCTGAGGTGATGAACTTGCAGTTTGGTCGTTTTTCGTCATCCTTGCCTGCCCGTGCCTCAGCCTAGCTGTTACGACCAACTTTAGTGATGGGTTTCTGAAGACGAAATACTGAAACGCATCTGATAGTTTCTGATCATCCTGGTCATCTTCAGTTTTATTTTTGTTGGCGAAATAACGCAATTCACCTGACAGCCCTAGTAGGCGGAGCAGAATGATCAGAAGCGCTGGTGTTACTTTGGTCATTTCTGGTCATTCTGAGTTATCGAGTCCCGCAGTTTTTGACAGTCTTCCGCATTGATCATCCTGGACTGCCTAATACCGCTGTTCCGGTCAGTTTCATTGATGGGTTTCTGATGACGAAATACCGAAACGCATCTGACAGACCTACCAGGTGTACCAGAATGATCGGAGGTGGTAAAGAAACCTGCAGTTTCGTTGTTTCTGATCATCCTGGTCATCTTCAGTTTTGTTTTTGTTGGCGAAATAACGAAATTCGCCTGACATACCTACAAGACGGAGGAGAATGATCGGAAGCGCTGATGTTACTTTGGCCATTTCTGGTAATTCCGGGTTGTCGAATCTCGCTGTATTTGGCCATCTTCCACATCGACCATCCTGGTCTTCCCATCACCTTTGTCCCGGTCAGTTTCATTAATGGTTTTCTGATGACGAAATACCGAACCGCATCTGGCAGACCTACAAGACGGAGCAGAATGATCGGAGGTGGTAATGAACCTGCAGTTTCGTTGTTTCTGATCATCCTGGTCATCTTCAGTTTTGTTTTTGTTGGCGAAATAACGAAATTCACCTGACAGACCTACAAGGCGGAGGAGAATGATCGAAAGCGCTTATTTTACTTTGGCCATTTCTGGTCTTTCTGAGTTGTCGAGTCTCGCTGTATTTGGCCATCTTCCACATTGATCATCCTGGTCATCCCATCACCTTTGTCCCGGTCAGTTTCATTAATGGTTTTCTGATGACGAAATAGCCAAACTCATGTGGCAGACCTACCAGGAGTACGAGAATTATCGGAGGTGGTAATGAACCTGCAGTTTCATTGTTTCTTATCATCCTGGTCATCTTCAGTTTTGTTTTTGATGTCGAAATATCGAAATTCGCCTGACAGACCTACAAGGCGGAGGAGAATGATCGGAGGTGGTAATGAACCTGCAGTTTCGTTGTTTCTGATCATCCTGGTCATCTTCAGTTTTGTTTTTGATGGCGAAATATCGAAATTCGCCTGACAGACCTAGAAGGCGGAGGAGAATGATCGGAAGCGCTGATGTTACTTTGGCCATTTCTGGTCATTCCGGGTTGTCGAGTCTCGCTGTATTTGGCTATCTTCCGCATTGATCATCCTGATCTGCCTAATACCGCTGTTCCGGTCAGTTTCATTACTGGTTTTCCGATGACGAAATACCGAAATGCATCTGACATGCGTTTCAGAATGATCGGAAGCTGTAATGCTACTTGGCACTTTCTGATTAATAGGGGTTAAGTAGTCTCGCTGTTTTTGGTCATCTTCGGTATTTATCATCCTCGTCATTATTTTGGCATATAGGCAAAATATGATGATCAGACCAAGCTACAAGTTCACTACCCCGCCGACCTCAATACGGAATCTCACAAAACGTTTTACACCCACCACAAACAAATTAATTAAATTTTAACTAATCAATCAAATCGTTCTATAAAAGCTTTCAAACTTCTGTTCAGTAAAATAGACAATATATGGTAGATACTTCAATTTACATAATTTTACTTCTAAGTTTTACCTTGTGGCGAGCTCTTTTGAACAATTGATCTTGAAAGTTTAATTTTAATCAAAGAGGAGAATGATTAGGAATGATTAGGTGCATTAGTTAGTATGTTTTGTTGGAAGGAACGCTTAGTAAACTGTACGATTTTTTTTAGGTAGAAAGTAGAAAGAATACATTGCATGATGTAAGTTTTTGGAAAAAAGTTATGAGTTGCATTAGCAATTCAAATGTTTACGTCTTTATGATTTTTTAAAAATATTGATTTATGATCTACCTGAAAAGTTGGAAAACTTGTTTTCTGGAAAACACCCTTTCGTTGGTGATTTCAATAAGCAACCTTATAAGCAATGGCCTTGTAAAATCCTCCCCCAAATTCTTAATATTTAAGAAGCTTTTTTTTTATAATTTCTACTTTGCCCTTCGTCAAAGCTTGTGCTAATCATATTTCAATTCGTTTTAACCGAGAACACTTTAAATACGATATCATTTTTAGCTTAGTTGCATGTTTTAATTTTCTATTTTTCCTTTTAATTTACTTGTTATTTGTCTGGTTTGGTTCTCTTTGGTCACGCTTTGCATGTTTACGGCACTTTATTTCCTTCCTGGATGAAGTGTAAGAATGAGTTGGGGGTGCAGAGCGATCTTGAAGTCTGCGAGAGTATGAGCAGCTCGGAGGAGAGCGACGACTCGGGGAAGGCGACCGGGGTCGAGGAGGACGAAACCCTCACCGACGCCTTGAAGAACCTCATCTTTCGGAAGGACCAGCTCGAAAGACAGCACAGGCGTCAGCAGGCCAGACATAAAAACATACAGGTATTTTATTATTATTATTGATTAATAATTATATTAAAAATTCTCTCCCCGGTAAGGATGCGGTGAAACAATCGATAACTGTACTTGCATCGGGATTTAACACTATTTTTAACACTAGTTCTTGTTCAGTCCATACTTTTTCGCATTTTATACGTTTAGCGAGGTATCAGTGTATAAGGCATTGAAAAGACAGAAGAATTAAGATAATTTCTCCATTAAAAATTAGAAAAATTGTCTATTTAGTCTCTATTACTTTGTGGAAAAAGCATTTAAAATAAGGGAAATAGAAAAACAATACATCGTGAAAAATCTCAAGAACAGCCAAAAATTTTTCAAAGTAAAAAAGATACTCTCTTTTATTTTGCATTTTGAAGTTAATTGGCAAAATTCTGTGGTCTCTTAATTTTTCACACGTTTATTACTTAAATACCTATATAATATATTACATAAAAGAATTTATATATTTTCTGAAGTAAGGTTAATTAGGTGATATTCGAAAAGGTACTTGGTTTTATATAAAAAGTAGAACTTTTTACAAAAATGCAATATTTCTTTTTGTACGAAAATATCTCAGGTTCGTACCAGCAGAGCTCATAACAACCCTCGGGGTGTCGGTATTTTTTGAAAAAAAGAAGAAAAAAGAAAGCCCATTTTTAAATATAACGGCCCTGCATTCGAACCAGGGACCTTTCACTTACAGTAATGAGCGCCGTGTCAACGCCTAAACCGTCGCGGCCGACGCCCCTAGTATTAAACATTAATACAAAAAGAAAAATGTTTCGTTTCATCAATACAAAAATTTGCACATAGAAAATTGGCCAGAGAATCTTCAAAACATTATCTTCAGTTCAAGTTTGGCAGCTGGCTAAAAAGTCACGTTTGGTCAAATTTAATATACATGACATTTTTTTCTAATTATTTTATTTTAAAAATATTCTGCATAGAGAAGACATGTAAAAACTTACGTTAAAAATAAAACTATAAAAACGATCTACACACACAATTGCAGTGTTAATACCAATAACACATGATATAAATATATGTTTTTCTTCAAAATTTGCACAATATTTTGCACAGTAATTAGACTGTCAGTATTATTGTACAATATAGATTGCACAATAATTTGACGGTTGCCCCTTAATGTTCAATAATATTGTACAAAATTTTGTTTGTGCAATGAACTTGAATAGTTTGAAGGCGATATTGAAGTTTGTGCAATATTTTCCACTTGTTGAAACTTCACAAACTGGCTGATATTGCGCAATAATGCCAACAGACGGTGCAATATTTTCCAGGTTGTACAATATATTTTCAACTTTTCGTCAATCATGCATTGTACAAACTTTCAATATCGTCTACACACGATCAATTAAATTGCACAACCCAAAATATTGTGCAATAATATTGATCGTCTATGGGCCGCTTCAAGATGTAATAAGTGCTCATCCATCAGGAGTAGGGATCTCAGCCTTCATAGTACTTCGCATGAACAGAGGACATGTCCCATTGTTGTTGCAATATGTGCACAGGCTTATTTCTGCTGCTCGGTCTACACATATGCCTTCAGTAACCAGTCTAAAAAAATTCTTGTCTTAACACGTCCTAGAATTACTAATTCTGCTTTTTGTTTCTGCGACGGTCTTTAATGTATTTTTTAATAAGCCTATGCCCATGTCCTGTAGTTCTGTTTAATTCTGTTGAGTTGAGGGCTTAACCCATTGTCTTGATCTACGTTTTTCACAATTTGGTAGGCAAAAGAGTTCAGAGCCTGATTGAACTCTCCTCGACTAATTTATCGGCCTCTTCGTTGCCTTTCTGGCTTGTCTGTCCTGCTACCCAAACGAGTGATTTGTTTATTTTCCCAAATGTCGTAACAGCCTTGACCCAGTCTTTTGATCTCCTTGGTACGTGTTCAATGACCGCAGTCCTTAGTCCTTAGTTTATTTCCGATAATATGACTGACCCTTACTTGACTTTAGAACTTTCAGTGTGCTATTAACTTGGATCCCTTCCTGACTGATCTGTAGGGTATGTAAATTTTAAATCATAATCTTATTTTTGGGATCAAGGCACCAGCAGGCATTCCCAAAAACGTGATATCCCTCCTGCCCTACATTTGCCCGTCAATTTTGGCTTTAGCCCTTCCTAGATGAAGGTAGCGAAGTGGCGGTAGATTCAGGAGGACTGCCAGAGCAACAGTCTTTCACCATTACATTTAAACGAGTTCAGTGATCAACAGAATTTATAATTTAAAATTGAAGAGCACCAGTTATGCAACTAGAAACAAATCAACCACGTTTTTTGCAGCCCATTGGATTATGTTAGCTGATGTCTTGTACTGTATTTCGCTTACGTTTACTTTACGTTTCATCGTTGGATTGCCCATCTACCACCACGATTACGTTTCAGCGATGGCTTGCCTATCTGCAGCCAAGATTCCGTTTCATCGATGAGTTGCCCATCTACAGCTAAGATTCCGTTTCAATGATGAGTTGCCTATCTGCAGCCAAGATTCCGTTTCAACGATGGGTTGCCCACCTACCACCACGATTACGTTTCAACGATGGCTTGCCTATCTGCAGCCAAGATTACGTTTCAACGATGGCTTGCCTATCTGCAGCCAAGATTCTTTTTCGTCGATGAGTTGCCCATCTACAGCTAAGATTCCGTTTCAATGATGGGTTGCCTATCTGCACCCAAGATTCTTTTTCATCGATGTGTTGCCCATCTACAGCTAAGATTCCGTTTCAACGATGGCTTGCCTATCTGCAGCTAAGATTCCGTTTCATTGATGACTTGCGCATCTACAGCCAAGATTACGTTTTAACGATGGGTTTTGCCCATCTACAGCAATGATTATGTTTCATCGATGAGTTGCCCATTTACCTCCAAGATACGTTGCAGTGTTGTGTTGCCTATCTACCACCAAGAATCCGTTTCTCATCCACAAAATGTCCACCACTGAAATACTGGAAAGATAAAAAAAAAGAACTTGGTTTTATGCCAGCCAGTCATGAAGAAAAAGCTTCTAGCTGAAATAAAGATTTTGAGCGTAGAGGAATACATCTTTCTTGCAACTGATAGTATCCTGGACCATCGCAGCAACAGGAAATAACGTGCGCAAGTTAACGTAGGGCAATGATTTTGCTATGTCTTCTACAGTATACTGTATTGCGTTATGTTCCACATGTTTTTAGATTGTAAGTAGTGAGATACTTTTCCGTTCTTTCTATACCGATCATTAGTACACGACTTTTTCTTTCGATACCAAAATCCTTAGACCCTGGTCTTTGTGGAACTGAATTTTGTGGTTTCTCCTCGAACGACCGGCTCGCCACGTCCGTCTTGCCGAGTTATTTTTCCCGGATTGCCGGTCGATTGCATCAGACGATTCCATGAAGAAATTAAAGATAATTGTTTTCTGTGACCTAAAAACCCCAGGGGCTTTTTCCTAGTAACTAACTGGGACATGTTTATGTTTTGCGATAACCCTAGAAAAATGATCTCAGGTCTGCAATGTACCTCGGCCGGAGAGCAACAAGCAGATAATTGTCTGAAGAAATTCGACCGTGCTGAAATAGAGTCCAAGGCGAATGTTAAACATGTTGACCTTGGTGGATGTAGGCCGACTAACAGCAGTTTAATTTTTTTCAAAAAATGCGTCCGACCGACTGGCGACCGATAGGGAATGAGCTCGCGTGCGAACTTAGTGGGCCTGGATTGTAATTATTATGCCAGGATTTTTACAGTCTCACACCGGAAATTACGCGTTACCGAACTAAAATTTAAATCCCACCGGGCAAACTTTAAAGGGCGAAGGTGCGCAGTGGGCGTTGCGGCCATTTTCTTCAGAAATGACAAAAGCTTACGACAAAGTACTTCATACGACGTATCATTCTCTCATTTTGCCTTCTCGTCTTTTTTGAAAACTACTCATCACGTGAAAAACGATCTTTCTTTTTATTAGCAAATTTTGGTCGATGGGTAAGGCTTGAGATGTCAAAGAATCTTCAAATCCCCTGTTTTATTGGGTTATTAACCTCCTAATCTTTGGCCGGTTATTAAACAGACGAGTTTGATTACTTTTATTAGACAGCTATGAATTCATTTATATTTCATGATAAGAAACTTCCATCAATACAAGAAAAGATGTTCATACCAAATTTCCTTAGATATAGCCTTTATTTTTCATCTCTAAAACCATTAAATACCCATAGAATGTACACATCTATCAAAAAATATATTTACCTATTGTACAGTAATAATTTTATGTGTGTTGCTCAATGTTACATTAAAAATTCAAGTGAAAGCATTTTTTTTTTTTTTTTTTACAGAAAGTGATATCAATTTCTGAAGTTATGACTGTGATGGAAGTACGACCACATGATTTGGTTCCTGACACTAACTGCTTCATCGACTGCCTTCCTCAGATTGAAGCGCTGCTCAAGATCTTGCCTAATCCACAGCACCCTTATGTCATCATGGTGCCTCTCATAGGTAAAGTTGTTAATTGATCCTAGTTTCTGCTCTATCTTAATCTTTTTATTTTTTAGTTATGAATGAGCTTGAAGGGCTCTCGAGGGGCTGCAAGCCGAGCCAGAGTGCCCTACATTCGGTTATGGTCAGAGAGACGGCCAGAGACGCGATGGCCCTGTTCCAGAAAAAGCACCCTGCGCTACGCTGTGTCACGACCAAAGGCTCAGTACTCATTTCTCCGGCTTTCACCGTCGAGGAAGACACCGCTGTCGACATGAAGAATGACGACAAGATCCTCGCCACATGCATAAATATTTCCAAAGCTCATACAAGAGATGAAGTTACAGAAGGTAAACAGATAGATGACACTGGGCCATTTCGTTTTCTGACTTATTAACATTTTGTAGGAGGCAAGAAGAAACTGTACAGAGAAGTGGTTTTGCTGACTGATGACAAATCACTGAGGTTGAAGGCTATATCTCGAGACATGCCAGTTCGATCCCTGGCAGATTTCATGAAGTGGGCCGGCCTCGGGTGACAGGATTCAACTCCTGCTTCTTGAATATTACTGGACACCAGTGAGAGGTATGCATTTTAAATCATCCTATTTTCTTTACTGGGGGTTTAATGCTGATGAGATGTTAAAACTTAATAACACTCCCACAACTTAAGTACAGTCTCTGAATACAATGTGTTGCATGTTCAAATGAATGACGTAAACAAACACCAAAATTTATAGTGTATAGTGAATGAAGTCTAGAATCTATTATATTAATCCATGTATGTATTTAGTAGTCATAATTGACTGTATTCATTATTTTAATTGATTGTACTTTTTATCGGTTTATTATTTTGACTTAATATGCCGCTTCTTTAACCACTTGACCTGTCATGACTTTGATCCACTCGGACACTAACTCCTCATCTCAACTTAAAACCTACAAGCCGAAGGTCGTGGCTTCGAATCCTGCTTTTTCAACTCAACCAAGGCCTTATATAAAAACAATTAAAATAAAATATTGAGGTAGTATTAAAATGTTTTGGACAGACTTGATAATAATACAAATTTTAGTTAATTTTTTAATTAATTAATTTTAAGGGGTTCATATTGGCAGTGGTCATATCATCCACTGTGATGCCTGTCCAGTGGCCCTGCATTTGTACCTGTGACCTTTACCTTACGGTGATGTATGCCATGTCAACGCCTAAACCGTTGGTGCCACCAACGCTTCCTTACAAATTTGATTGCAATAAAAATCCCTACTTTAAATATGTCTTAAATTTAAAAAAAGAAAACAATCATAGAAAATAGTAACAATAAAGGGACCATTAAAATAAGCTAAGAGAAATTTTTAAAAGTGTGTCAATGTTGACGATGAATGGATAAAATGCATATTTTCTTCAGGCGTATAAAAATACAGCAAAAATTAATTTTGAATCTTGGTAGAGGGCTGTGGTCAGTTGTTCAAATGTTTTTTTATTTATTTAAATTTCTTAACACTACTTTAATAAACCCAGGTTAATTATTATAATTAATTTTTGTACTGTGAACTCTTATGTATTAATATAATATAATAACTATTATAGACATAATGAGCACTGCTCTTACAATTTACCAAAACATTTACTTGGAGCAATTTTGTTGAATTATTAAATTGTACTTTAATCGTTTTCCATCGGGTTCTCTGGTTTTTTCAAACTGGTATTTCCAGGAAGGTAGGGAAGCACAATTATACAGCACTTTATTTAAAAGCTGAACTTGTACATAGATTCCTAGTGGATAAATTTAGTCAAAAAGGTTTTTTAAGGTAGATAGTATAAAAGAAATGGTGCAAATAAGCTTCAGCAGATCAGGGTTGTTTCAACAACAAGGCAGAATTTCTCTTGTCTTTTTTTAAATTAGACTACCAATGGTCAGTCTAGTATTGTTTCTAGAAGATATTCAACGATTCGAGCCATGTAATCTCGTAAGTGTATTTTTCTTTTTTTACCTCTAACCTTCTTATTGGACATTCTATGACTTTGCCCATTTATTGGATTAATTTAGCAGTCTTGAATTTCCCAGCCTTGTCATCAAAGTTCATCATGGATTGAGCGTGTATTCTTACTAGATAAGTAGAGAAGATGGTGAAATGTTGAAATGTGAATGACTTATTGTTAACTTGATAGTTAAGTACGAACTTAGACGTCGTGTTGAGTTTCTTGGTCGGAATTTCCGTCGTTTAATTTTATAGAGAAAAGAAAAGGGAAAATAGGATTTTTTTACCCCATTGTATTGTAAGATCGTAAAACGGACTTAACTAGCTCTGGTTGTTCACGAATGATCACAGACGTCTGTAGTTTGCAGTGGACTGGAGTCGAGCCCAGACAACGATCTGTTACAGCAGCAATTAATTTTTTAAATCGCGAGGCCAGTCGGCCGGAACGAGTTTTCCCCCCTTTTAAAATAGAGGGTGCCCGTTTAATATTCTCGTCCGAAATATTCGCTCCGGAGACGGGCGTGAAACGGTAAAATGGGGTATTAAGTTATTTTTAAGTCCGCGAAGTCCGACCGAGGGGTCCGACGAACGGGTTCTGTCGCCGGTTCATTTCCTCCTCTAGGAAGGACGACAGTCGCCCATTCTGTGCCGATGAACTCGGACGTCTCATCAGAGGGATGACCGACCTCGCGAAGCCCATTCATTCCCCGCGGTAGACAGTAGTGTCATTTTACTCAAACTACCTTCATCCTCACGAACTCTGCAAATCCTCCTCGACCGTAATAGATTTTAATTTTGCCCATTTCGCACCTTGCCGAAAGAACAGTTATCCAATTCCTCTGGAAAGAAATGGCGAAGGTCAGGTGTGCCGGTGAAACCAGTCGGGGTTCAAAGGCTGGTTTTCTACTGCAGTCTGACTCTTCTAGGGCTGTAATGACCTGCTCAGTAATGGTTTTACCGACAACGATTTATCAAACGGATGACCTTACCTCTTCGGAGATTAACGCCTCTTGTTTATCTAAGGATTATTATTTTTTTTTACGAGATTCGCAACAGCAGAGATCATATAAACCCTCAGGGTGCCGGTGTTTTTGAAAAAAGCCCATTTATACTATGTCTGGTTCGAATGCAGGGCCGCTGGATTCGAACCTGGGACCTTTACCTTACAGTGATGAGCTCCATGCCAACCGTTGCGGCCACCGACGCCCCCTCGAAGGATTATTCCCTTAATAATCAAATGCTACACAATGGTAACATATTGTGCAACGGAATGCGCGAGTGGGTAGATTTTTCAGTCATGCAATACTGTGTTGTCATATCGGAAATATCCGTTCTGTTGAACAAGAAGCAAATTAAAAAAACCCTTATAGATAAAATATATTTTATTCCAAGTACGACGTTCTACTTTTGTCCCCATTTCTTTCTGTTCTAAATTTGAACAAAATTAAGTTACGAGATGAAACAAAAAGAAAAGGCTTTTGTTTAAATATCCGATTTATTTGTAAAAGTATCGCTTAAATAATTCCAAACTTCGAGAAAAATTGGTTGTCTGAAATGTGGCAGATCTGGAGAAAAGATGGGCTATGCCATGCAGAAAGAACTTCTTGTTAATAAGCTGAGGCAATTGTATAAAATAAAATGTTGATATATTTGGCAAATTCATGGTCGACTTGATATCTCATGATGAGAAAAATAGATGACCTCAACCATAGACTTTTTCGGATTGATCATAAAGTCCGGTTTTCTCCTATAATCTGATTCTTCTAGGTCTGTAAATAACCTGTTGAATCCAACAACTGACATGAACAGCGTCGATTGTCATTTATGGTCCACTTTTTATCATATTTTTTTATGCGCTTATGCAAGAGTTTTACTACTTAAGTGTCTGTCACTTCAGATAATGTCAAGAAATGACTTAATGGCATTTTTCTTCCACATTTACTTAAGAGTTTTGCCACCGATTGATGATCGGGGTCTTTTGCGTGATGTTTTTCATAGGTTGAAGAAAACTTGACACCCCGACATTTTTAAGTCATGTGCCGTGTTTTCAAACTTTTGCTATGTGAAAAACATCAGATGTATATTCTAACTACATCCACCATAACCTGAAAAAACTAGTTTAGGGGTTTCGGTGGCGCAACGGTTTAGGCGCTCATCATTGTAATAGCTCTGATAAGAGTCCTGGGTTCGAATCCAGCGGCCCTGCTTCGAACCCGAACTTACTGGGTTTGTACCGGCACCCCGATGGTTCATGTAACCTCGTAGTTGAAACACCCTCGTAAAAAATAAAATAAATAAATAAAGAACCTAGCCTAAGGAGGCAATGCTAATCCATTTACCGATTAACCTGTCACAGCTATATATAAAAATGACTCGAAAACTCAATTACGAACAAACCGAGGAGGTGTCAAACAGGCCAGGGGCCATTACCAAATGTTGACGGGAAATGTCTAATTGCGCTAAGGAGGCTCTGGGCCTCCCCATTGTTAATATTATCCCACAGGGGCAATGGCATCGGGTCCGACTTGTCTTTTTTACTAATTTGGATAACTGTACCCGTTCTGAAGCTTTATTAAGCATAACTAGGAAATGGATAGGTTTTTGAGTTGCCATTTATGACCACTTTCCGCCGAAGAGGCCACTGGGTACAAAATACAAAGAACAGAGACTTTTTATATTGCAATCTCGAAACATGTTGGTATAAATATATGAAAATATTATCTCTGGAGGTTCTAGATAATTGCACACAAGCTGTTGTTGGGAGGAATGCTCAGATCTCAATTCTTCTACCAAAATTTACTTTCAATGCCCAATATTATGTTTCTTCCACAAGGAAAGCGTCGTAATAAATTATATCGAGTATCTTTTATTAACCAATAATAATTATTATTACATATAGTTAATGCGCTATTGATAATAGATAATTGGGATCAGGTGTGTGGTCCAAAATGAAGTAGTAGTATATTTTTAACAATCTTTCAGCTTTTTATTTAGGACAATTCATTATTATTTCATATTTTACAGAAGGATAAACATAATTATTTTAATGGCATACTCACAATAAAGCAATGTTTGCACTGCAGTTACGGATACTTAATTAAAAAACAAATAAAAATAAAAACAAAAGCGGCACGCTCAGGTACTTCGGTAAGTTTTTGTTATTGTATAAAGTAAAAACATAAGAACAAAAAATGGCCGAAGTTACTGAACTTTCCGATTTTATTTGTATATATGTTTTTTAATTAAGTATCCGTAAGTTCATTGCAAACATAGTTTTATTGTGACATAAGAACAAAAAAATGACCGAAGTAGCTGAAAGTGACGCTTTTATTTTTATTTATCTTTTTTAATTAAGTATCCGTAAGTTCATTGGAAACAGTTTTATTGTGACAAAGAACAAAAAAATGACCCAAGTACCTGTACTTTCCGCTTTTATTTGTATTACGTTTTTTAATTAAGTATCCGTAAGTTCATTGCAAACATTAAGTCCTGTGCAATTAAAATAATTATGTTTATCCTGAGGAAGGCGTAATAAAAAGCCGAAAGCTTGGCAAAAAAGATACGACTACTTTATTTGGACCTGATCCCAATCATTAATTGTTGAACATGGATGGTCGATATTTCTCCATGTGGTAATGCACAACGTCCATGATGGTTATACGTCGGTGTTCGATTATATTTTATATGTAACTTAAGAACACTTTACAAAAAGCCGATTTATTGTTTACGAAATAGCACAGTTACACAACGGTGTACAGGCCCCTGCTAGAGCCGAGTGTGCTATTCGTTCCTAGATAGGGATAATCCGTATGTGGAAAAGAACGATTTTACCCGATGGGCGCAGTGTAAAAGGCTCTTTGACCACCTCAACTAATCTAATCTAGCTGTTAGTTTAATACTCTGAACCCTCTTGAATATTTATTTTGTATTGCAGAAGAAGAATTGCACTTGCGGTTCGTTGTGATGTCGACAGAAGTCTTATCATTTGGAAACGAAAAATTACTTTAAAAAAAAATAGTACTGTATATCTTCGTATACAAAAGTTGGTTCAGAGATGCAACAACGTCGCGCAACGCAAATATTGACGCCACATCTTAATTGTAACCATGTAACGTCGTAGCAAATGGGTAGGACGGACAAATAAGTCATCTTGCGTGGTAGCCGTAGTGAATCCTACCAGCATGTTTACTTTTAACTATGTATACCAGCATCATTGTTGACGTTCCTTCATTTTTACTATATAGTTCATGAGTTTGCAGGTTGTACCAATATTCATAAGTATCCCTACACACTACACAGTGACGTAGTGCGAAAAGTTCCACGAAAAGGAACGGGGACTTAGCTCGTTTTTGCGCAAGGGCCTCCGAATTTATAGCTACGCTCCTCCACATGGTAACGTTTCAAGAATTGATAGGTGAAAGGTGCAGAGTTGCGCAAACCTGGACGTACGACGTATGTATCAACTATGTCACGCGAGTTTTGTACTACTCTGCTTACCTGACCCCACCTTGATAATTTACAGTTCATCAATATTCTCATTCATATCAATCCATAAAATTCATGACATACAAATAACGCATATGTGCAAGTCCATCTCATCAGAACCAATGTAATTACACTTTAGTCGACCATTCATTTTACATTGAGGACTTATGAAGGGTCCAGCAACAGTTTAGCGTATTAAAACTCAATCGCAACAGGACATGACTACTACATAGACGCCTCACCGTAACATTGGTTTGACGAAGCACGTATTGGTGCAATTTTTTTATGGGACCCTCACTGTAGGCTTTTTTTTAATAGGTTTTTTCATAAAACGGAAATGTTCTTTGTAAACCGAACCAAATTTTGTGTTTTCATGTTGGACCTTGGATCCCTAGCTTCCGAACTGCACTTGTAGACGATTGCAACTTGAACTTAAAGTTGGAACATAGCAATGTTACGAACATCAGATGCCATGTTGCACGACCATGTCCTGTCACGTTGTTCCGCGTTGTTGTTGAAAGTCTCTATCCCGTTTTTGATTAAGCTTTTTTATCATTGCACTCGAGCATACTTATATTTTCAAGTAAAATATTTAGGGCTATGCTTAGGCAGTGGGCTGGCGTGGAATCCGCACATAAAACTCAAGCGATAAGAAGTAAATAGACGATTTGGACAACTACGAAGAATTAGTTATAGGACCGAAATCAGACAGGACGGTAAAGAACAAATTGACTTCAAAACATGACTTCGATCTATTTGGAGATGCCACCAAACCATCTAACATCCAACGAATCCAACTTTTACAATAAAAAGCGCTCAGAAGAATTCTCCAAACTCCTTACGTTGTGTCCAATCTCAATGGCCTTAACATTTCCTTCGGCGAACAATTGATCCTTTTCCGCTTCCTCAAGTTTCACTTCAATCTTATAACCCATCTTAATCATTCAAACTGAGTGCCTGCGTTGGCAGGCTTCCCGTGTATCTCCGGGTGCAGTATTGGGCGTAGTGTTTTGTTGCATTTTATATCATTGAGGTTTTATAAGCTCAAATCTGTACACGCTTATATATACACGCATGTACAGAGTTGAGCTTAACGTTTATCGCAGTCCACCGGCAATTCCAGAGTGGTGGAGTACTCAATATTCCTCTGCCACCCTTTACACTCTTATATGACTAACCTAAGTGAGGGTCGATGGGGTAGTCATTCCACCATAGACCCTCACACTAAACCTTCACGCCAATAAATACATTCATTCTCAGCCCAAGCAAGGGACAGACTATCAGTATTAAATACAATAAAACAACCCGGTCTCAGGAAAATAGAAACAGAGGAGCAAGATAATAGCTGCCGTGCTCAAACACGATTCTTATATTGGGTGGCATTCCTACACGCTCCCTTTATGTAACCAAGGAATTGAACCTTTTCAACTAACTGCGATACATCGAGCAATCTTGCTCTGCATGCCAGACACATGCGCAGCTTATATAGCATTGTATATATAAGTGCGAAGTTTATGGGCGGACAAACAGCTGAGGTCATCGCCGGCCCTCTGCGTGTTTTCCATCTTTTTCTTTTCTTTCGCCCATATTTTGTTTTAAACTGCAGCCATTTGAGCGTTTCGATCTGGTTACTGACTCTCTGATTTCAGATATATACTACGTTGGTTGATATTCTAGAATGCTAGTCTCTCGTTTGTACCTCAGGTTATCAAATACAGAATAAAAACAAAACATACAATACATATATATACATCACCACAAATATAGATGTCCGGTCACATTCATTCCCCCAGAGTACTCGATATTCCTCGGGGCGGGGTTATAAGCAACCCCTTCCTTTCACGCTAATAAATTACTTTTACTCTCCAGACGTCATACACTCACCCCAGAATACCCGATATTCCTCGGGGCGGGGTTATAAGCAACCCCTTCCTTTCACGCTAATAAATTACATTCATTACGATAAATTAACACAAACACAACACTCGATAGAAATATAGAGGTCTGGTCACTTTCACTCCCTCGGAGTACTCTATAGCATTGTAATTTTAAAAATTGTAATATAAGTGAGTTCCAATATTAAAAAAAAATGTTTCTTTTGTTTCAGGTGTTGTGTTTCGGTGTCAGCCGATTGAGATAAAAAGGCTCCGAGCGAATCCTCAAAAAGACGGCCAATAACGAGCATTTAACATCTCCCTTCTTAATTAGACGACAAAGGTACTGCTAATTGTTCGTCCGTAAAGTCTGAATCCATTGTTTATTGGGTGTCATTTCACTGTACTTAATATTTTATCGACGTTAGACTGTCGACGACCCACCCGGTGCTTTCGTTAGGCTTCTCAATCGCTCAGGGACAGGCACGCGATTCAGCCTTTTTCACAAATGTGCATAGCAATATTTTTGTTAACTCATATCGACAATTTTATATTTTGTTATTCGCCAGATGGATTTACGAGTGACTTCACGTTGAAAAGCCTAACGGTTCCCTTCACCGCCCACGGAGCTGTTTTTATTTTATTATTATTATCATATAATATGCGCTAATGGAAATACTTTTATGCCAAATATTGGAAACTGGGTGATCTCATTTGGCTTTATTATTTTTCTACAATTACATTAACAACAATCAAAACGGGAAGTTCGGGTGATCGTTTAGTCCTTTAACTGTGCTGTGTTAATAAGAATATTCATTTTCATTTCTCTCTTCTTCTTTTTTTCCCATTTTATTTTGTTAAAATATTTGAATAGATGTTCTGTTGTACATGACGGTTCAGATAAAGATTTAGAATTTTAATGATTTTGTAGATAAATAGTACGTGTTAGAAAGACGTTTAGGATTTAGATTAAAAAAAGGCGGTTTTGGGTCTCTAGCCCAGTCGTGTAGTGTCAATTGTAACTCCACACACATTTAATTGTAATTTTTGAATACGAAATTAATTTATATTTATAATTGTATTTATTTGTCGGGATTTCCAGGCCGAAGATTTTTTTTTCTCGCCTTACTATTTCTTTTCATTTATCCCCACGAAATCGTTACTACTTTTCAGTGTGTTTCATCAATTATATATTTTTTGTTTGCACCATACTCTATCAGTTACGCGAGATTGGTATATATCATATGTATAGTTTTTGGAATAATTTAATACTTGTTAACTTTGTCAAGATTTTGAATATATTATCATAAGTGTACAATTCTTTTTGTGCTTACCTCACTCCTTTAATTTCTCATTGGCTTTATTTATTATCATGTGTTTTAAAAAGTCTTAGGGAAATTTTTTTCTACAAGGCAGCAATGACACCATTTATGGGCTAATATGAACCATAACCAAAGGCAAAAAGCGTAGGAAGTCCTGGCAGAAGTCGGTGACATCAATGGGTCCCTGGGTAATCGGGGACATAGATGAACACGTTGGACAAAAAAAAATGAGCCAATATGAATTCTCTAGGCACCTAAACCTACAGAGGTCTGGATCTTGTCAGAAAAAAGGACACATCCAACAATGGATCCTTAATGTAACCAAAATCTGGTGGAACCACGCGAAGAAATTCATAGTAGGGCCATCCACAAGGTAAGTAACCTTTTCCTGGAGGGCAACCGCAACAATACCAGGTTTGTGGTTGGTCTCCTAACAGGACATTGCCGCCTAAGAAGACACTTGTACTGGATATGAATAGAGAAAGAAACACTGTGCAGATACTGCCAGGAAGAAGTAGGAGCCCGCAGAAGACGTTTTATGTTTTTGTGAGGGTCTTTGTAAGTGCAGGTTTTTACAACTAGGAGATGAAAAGCCATAAGCAAGATCCTACTAATAAGGAGCCGCTGGGTCCAGTGAGATATGAAGATAAAGGAGCACAGTGGATCTACCCAGGTCGAGGTGCCTTGTGACCGCATCTTTTATCACTAATCCCTAAGAACGATAACTAGTTTAGGAGAAATCACGTCTTTAGAAACACCAAAAGTTATAAAAAATAATCACAGATCAAATTAGATTGCTGCAGGGAGAGAAAAGTCCGATACTTTCGGATGTCAAAGGTAAAGTAATTGTTATAGGTTTTTAACTTAACCTCGCGCTGTTTGACTATAAGTTCATCAATTCTGACATCCCAATTTCACATTTGAGTTTTTCCCACGCCTTACCGCCTTGTTTTTGTGAACTCGTGTGAAAACCATCATATTAACCCCGACAGAAACGACCAGCAAATAAAGTCGTTTGTATTGAGTCAAAATGTACCCACGTCTTGACACAGTTCGCGTCTGTTCGGCAAATGCTAATTTCAACATTGACACTACAGTTGAAGCTTAGCCGGGCAAACAATCGTGATTGAAAAAGCAAAAATTGAATTTGCCCAAAATGGATGAAAGAATTGTTTGAACCCCGTTGATTTTTCTATTTTTCCCTCTGTGATGAACATCATTTGGTACGATACTATTAATAATTTATTTATTTTCAACGTCAATCAATAACTGTGAGATTTCTTCTTGAGAACTACGAGGTGATAAACCTGTACAATATTCGTTTCCGATCATTCCGGTTCAGTCCTATCTGCTCAGGTTTGATCTGTGTCTTTTAGTATGCTAGGATGGTAGGAAGCAACTAAAATGCGCTATAATTGAGGTCATACATTGATCATAATTGATTAGCTAGCTGTGAATCTTGTTATACTGAACCGCCATAGGGTCAGTGCGCCTTCTTCAGTGACGAACCGTCAGTATTTGTCCGAGTACGGCTTATATACCATTGGGTCCGTCGGTTGTCGCTAGTGGTTTTGCGGTATGGAGTGTTCATTGGTCGGTCGTGATGTCTTGTCGATTGTATAAGACAATCTTTTGTCCAGAAATTTACAAGGAATCGTCTATTTTGTCATTTTCGTATGTACTTACTGCTGGGTTGGAATATGAAACAATCTAAAATTTGTCCGTTTCGACAGAAATTGGCAAGTATCTTGGTATATATCGTAGCTATTGAGGAATATGAGATGAACCTATAGTTTGGTCGTCTCCGATCAGTCTGGAATGTCTTGTCTCGCTGTTTTATATACTTAGTACACTCTTCAGTGCTGGAGTATTGAGAAACGTGTCTGACAGAGCCAAACATTGAGAGTATGTAGACGTAAATGATCAGAACCGATCTAATTACAGTTTCTTCATAAAATAATGAACGTTAAAGATGGAGGAGTAAAAGGTTTACTGTGAGCTATTCAGACCAAAAATTAGCAGATTTTATTCCCAGTGAATTAGAATATGAGCTTAACTTGCATTTTTGTCATTTTCCAATTATGCCAGAACTGCAGTTTGAAATTGTCAAACAATCGATTTTTTAGAAGAAATCTTGATATATTCATCCTACACAGTTGATAAGTGATGATATTAATACGTGATGCTCGTGTGGTTTAGCCTTTCCCGATCATCTTGGTCCACCTAGTTTCACCGTTTTGGTCCCACTGGGGTCGCAATGTCATTTAACATAGAGGTTCTTTAGCGTGCGCACCTGGCACACAGGCCTTATCATACGTTTAGAATCTCAAGTTAGGAGCGACTTACCTCCGCGCACGGAAAATCTGCTTCTTCATTGAGGTTCGTTATAGAAGCCAACATCCTGAACATGCTGCCGACATGTCGACATGTCCCGCTTGCCCCTTCCGAGGGGGTGGGTGTGAACTTTGTGCACCCAACCATGTGCCGCACGTAAAGGGATACCCAAAAGGGGTCGAAATGTATCGACCAAGTCTCCTACGCACTCCCTAGATAGAGAAGACAAATCTATCTCCCTGGGTGTAGGGGCTCCGCCAGCGTCGAAACCTCCGGATGCGCTCCGGCCGGGGTTTCGATTTTAGTGGAATCTCTAACCACCCCCGAGAGGAGACCCCTCGGGGCTGAGCTGCATCTACACCAACGCTGCGGCAGTAACACCCTTCTGTCGTATGCGGAGGTACGCCAGCTCTCATCTTGAGAATCAAAACGTCCGATAAGGCCGAACAGGCTAGGTGCGGACGTTAAAGATCCTCATTGTCCTTTTTAGGACGACCGAGTATACGGGAAAGCAATGTATGCTTCGGCAGTCCGATCGCTCCGATTCCCGCGAGGTCGGGAGGTAATTCGGAGGTCATACGCAAGGGCTGTTGTCACGGCCACGAATGAAACACAACCTCTTCTCTAGGTACCCGCTAGGGGTCTCACTACTAGGCCCATGTGGCCCTTACCGATGCAGCTGGTCTTGAACTTGGGACGGAAACTTCGCTGCCCCGCAGTTCAGATGGTTACGCACCCTCCCCCGTCCGTATAAAATATATATATATATATATATATATACAGAATCTGGTACACTAACCCGCGTGTGCCTCTGATGCAGCGCACCCGCCGTTCGCAGCCAGCTCTCCAGGCAGCAACTCCCACTCATCTCGAGGGACAGGACTCCTTGTTGAAAACAGCGTAATGCCACAACTAGTCTGACCAAAACAAAGGCCATTGCCTAACCGAAGACGTGTTTTCGCGTTTTCACATCTTGGACAAGTAAAACCCATCACTAAAGAACCACAGAGTAAAACAGCGAGACTAGGAAGGCCAAAATGATCGGAATCGACCAACCTAAAGTTTCTGCTTAAAATGGACATAGATTATTGAGTTATTAGATATGAACCATGGCAATCAATCGTCATTTAAAAAAAGAGTTCTTATGGCTTGCCCTTCCTAGTGGTTTGGAATGAGTTTGACCCATAATTTAGTCAGATCTATATATCCACCCAGTCTCGCTTTTCTGCCCCAGACGCGGCATTTCTTCCTCAATGGAGGGTGTGCGACGTGCGTATTATTTTGATTGAAAAAACCTATGATAAATTGAAGATATTACTTTGGATATATGGTATGTCTTCTCTACCTTGTTGAATATCGCGTTAATTCGTTTTTTACTTTGTTTAATTTCTTGTTGTAATTGTTAAATTCTTCAATCTCACATTGCATTTTATTTATGGCTAAATGACATAAATGTGCAGCAATACGAATAGAAAAATGCTCTTTTGCAAGTGTGGGGAGAACTCGGAAACATTGTGAAAACTGATTATATTTAAGTAGATTTGGAGATAGACGTTTTATTCTGACTTTTTGTTTTATTTCAACAAAATTATCCAACCTATAGCTGGTAAAAAAGTCTGATCTATTGATTTTGAAAATAAATAGTTTACATATTGAAATAAAAAGTTCAGAAAAACTTTGTTCCAGTGATTGGGTTAACACAAAGAGGTGGTTAGCCGACAAGGACGCGTGTTCCACTCGGTTTGTGTCCACCTTGGCTTCTGCGTTTTTCCTGCGACACCCTGCTCACCCTTCCAAATTGAATCTGTCACGGGGTACAGACGTGTTTGCACAAATCGCTTTTAGTTGGGAGAGGGCGACAATGCCTCCGGAACTAAACGGACCGGTTTTTCACTTATTTGCCCAGGGGTAGGCACGGGCAGTTCGAAAGAGAAAAAACACTTTTGCGTCAAATGGCCTAAAACAGTCAAAAATAACTATTCTGATTTATTGCATTGTATAAATTCGTCTGTATAGTCCAATAGCCCGAGGTGCAGGATCGGCGAAAAAAATTCAAGGGGGATCGACCTTGCCCGAGGGAAAAGGAAATGACTTTTGGGTTAGCGAAAAGCTGCGGGTCGCCGTACAGGAATCCAGATGGTTATCGAGCCAGCGGGCGTTCACTCTTAAAAATAACTAACTGCCTTAATTAATATGCGGATTTCCAGGCTCAGCTTGCGTATTTCTCGGAAAGTTGACAATTAATTCCGGCTATTTTTCCATCCGAATTTATAGCTGTTGTTGGCGCCTTGATGATAATCATTATATTTTATTTATGCAACGTCTCTACACGTATCTGCCATTTGTGCAGAGCAACTATATTTTTACTGGACGTATATATAACATTTCATTTCTGGCACTAAAGCGTTAATGCTCAATTGTATCATAAATGAAACTTTCAGAAATGTTTTGTAAGTTTGTATGCGTTGGGCGGAAGACAAAACAACCGAGTTGGCAAACGACATCCCGCGAGAATAATATTTGTACACACCTGCGTGTAGATTTCACACCGACCAGCCTTGGAATTGACTATATTGACAAAAAATTGACAAAAAACGTCCAGTCTGTACGTTTCAAGGAGCTTAACCTTTACTGGTTTATCCTAGGCTGAGGTCGAATT